ATTGTTCATGCTTTTATGTGCTGATACCAACATACCTTCAGGGGTGACAGCAAGTCTCTTTTGGAACATCACTGCAGCATGAAATACGACATCTCTCTGTTGCTGAGGTTCTGGAGGGTTTTGTTTTTCTTCTTGTTGTTTTCCTGGCCCTGAGCATCTCCAAAATTGCCTCAGGTTGTTTTTCCTCTTTCCTGAGAGTTCACTTCCAAATTAGGGCAAATTTTCTTCTGAATACTTTTGGGTTTATTTTGTTTCTTTCTTGGAGTCAAGAGGCTGGGAAAATTCAGGAGGATGTTCCCCATTAGAGACTGTTTAGGATTAAGGTTTAAAACTTCTCTTTATCATCAGGGTATCTGCTCAGTTTTTGGCTGGGTGAGGAGAATGTGCTATCTCTGATGTCCAACTGTTCATTAGTTAGTGCAAGTCACTAAATTGTTAGACATTAGTTGAGGTTCCATTCATTTCACTCCGTAACCTTTTCTTTACCTGTTCAGAGACCTCTTGAGAAAACCCTAACTTGAACACAGCAGTGGAATATTTGTAGCAGCAAGGAGACTGCAGGAGCTTTGATTATATTTTAAATGCTATCAGTGTGTCCAAATGAAAATTAAAGCTGTATTTGTAAACAATGCCAGTTCTCTGTAATTTAAATCACAGTTTTTGCAAGCAGTTGGGTTTCAGGGTGTTATTTGGCAGGCCCTTGCTGATGTGAGTTACTCATTTACAGCTATTTTTTTCCCCAACACCTGCACTAGAGGATACACAATATCTCCACAGCAACAGTAGGTCTTGCCAGCACTGTGGTGGGAATTATTTCCTCTCCATGCTGGAGAGGAAAATCCACCAGTAGCAAACGTGACAGAGATAACGTGTGGATCCATTGCTGTGTTGCTCTCACCTGTCAACTGATGCTGCATCTTGCTCTCCTTTGTTCTGAGTGAGAACCTGTAGGTGAATTTTGTTCCAGAGTATGAGGCTCCTTTTGTCCTTTCCTTCCCTTATGAACACTCATCCAGCACCGAACAATGACCAGGTGACCTGGAATCCTTGTCCAAAATGAACATGTAAAAGAAGAGCATTGCTGCTGCTGCTCTCAGCAGTGTTACTTTTCTTGAAGGACATTATTTAAGTGCATTTAATAAGTACAAAAAATGACTAGTTTTCAATGGAATGCAATCCCAGCATCGTGTTGTCACCTAAATTGGGAGAAATGAATCGAAGACATTGAGTGTGTATCTGTTTCCATACTCTGATGACTAAAATACCCCTTGGCCTGTTTTCTATAGGTGTGAGAATCAGCTGCTTTATAAAGGTTTTGAATGAAGTCATTATGCCTTTTATATCACGTTTGCCATTTAGGAATAAGCTGTTCTACCAAGATATGCAGGATCAGCAAAGTTAACATTTAGTGCTCCAGAAAGAAATGTCATAACTATGAAACTTGATTTCTGCCTGACAGGAACACTATAAATTAGGCAGGCACAATGGCCACGCTCACAAAACCTTCTTAGCCATCTATAACATGATCTGATGTGATTATAGCAGCACCCACCAGCAGCACTGTGGCTGCAGTTCTGGCAGTGCCTCTGTGATAAATGCAGTCATTCAGGGCTTTACTGCACATCTGAAGGAGCTTGCTCTGCTTGAAACTTGGCTCAGATGGCTCTGAGGAGTCTGTGTAATTGAGAGTCTCATGGCAAAAGCAAAATTTGACAGCAACACTGACTTCACCATCCTCTCTCTTCTCCCTCTTGCATCTAATGTCCTATTAGTTATCATAGAATCAGTGAATTTTAGGGGTCAGAATGGAACTTAGAGATCACCCAGCCCCAACCCCTGCCCTGGGCAGGGACACCTCCCACCAGAGCAGGTTGCTCAAGGCTCAGCCAACCTGGCTGTGAACACTGCCAGGGTTGGGGCAGCCACAGCCTCCCTGGGCAACCTGGGCCAGTGTCTCATCACCCTTAACTATCAGTTCTTCTTTTCCAGAGCTATTCTTCATCTGGATGTGCTCTGCAATCAGTTGCTGGCCTAGGTATGCAGTGCTTTCCCAGCCTGGTCTTGAGGACCAGTCTGGGGTGGAACTTAGCTGCAGTACACTCTGGTCATGGTTTGGGCTAGACAGAGCAGTGGATGTTCAATGGCAGGTTGGATGGGCTGAATACTGAGAGGAATGAGACAAAACCTTATCTCAGAAATTTGAGAATCCTTTACTATTTTCTCCCAAATTTTCCATGCTTCTCTTCACCCCACATATTTTGCACTTCCCTTGCTCCTCTTGCTCATGTCTCAGCCTCCATCTCCTCCTTGTGCTCCTTCCCTTGCCTTGTGGCTAACAGCCTCTGCGGAGCCGCTGAGGGATGTGCTGCTCCTGAGTAGGAGTAGCTCTGAAAATTGGTTTCCTGCTGTCCATTTTTCTTCAGTTGTCATTCCCTCATGCTTGCTGGATTCCTACTTTCCTCTTATTCTTTCTGCTCTTATCCAGGTCCCAGTTAGGAATACATAGCACTTGCGTCAAATGCATCTGGAAAACCCAGAGAAAACAAAAGTTAAATGTAATTGAAATGCTTTGTTTCAAACAAACTCAAAATAAAGCATTTTTGGCTTTGTACTTGAAATCATACTCCTCGCAGAATTTCAGCCCGATGTACTTTAGAAACTGATAAACAGAGCAAAGCATTATTTGCACAACATGATCTAGACATGCAGTAGAGATTTTCGAGTCTCTTTTTCTTTGAGTTCTGTTTTTCTCCTGATTTTGTGGGTTTGTTTAGGCATTTGTAAAGGATGTATACGACATGATTTTAAATTCCCTGAAGAGAATACAGATGGGCTGTGTAATTATTGCTGAGAGGTGCTGTTTTCTGTGTGCTGTACAACTCACATTCATAATATTTACCTGACAGCCAGAAAAATGTGGCCATCTCAGAATACTCTGAAACAATTCTTCTCAGAATAGAAACATTTCCCATTACAGAATTTATAACATACTTTAATTTCATATCTCTCTGTGCAGTCAATCCATTATGAATTGTTTTCAGAATGTTACAACATTTATAAAATAAAACTTCTGTACAGTGTATGTTATTTTTCTCATTATTAGATTTATTCTGTCCTGTTTCATAGCACATGTTCATTGCAGCTTCTTGCTGAAATGGGGCTGGAATATGTTAGGGGAGTGATGTGTGAGACAGGGGAGTTGGAGTTTGCTTCTTATAAGGTTAATTTTTGTGGCTGTATTTGAGGTGAAGGAGAAGTGAGTGTGCAGGTTTGTATGTTTTTATCCATCGATTCATAGAATCAGCGAATTTTAGGGTTGGAATGGAGCTTAGAGATGATCCAGCCCCAACCCCTGCCCTGGGCAGGGACACCTCCCACCAGAGCAGGTTGCTCAAGGCTCAGCCAACCTGGCTGTGAACACTGCCAGGGTTGGGGCAGCCCCAGCCTCCCTGGGCAACATGGGCAACCTGGGCCAGTGTCTCACCACCCTCACAGGGAAAACTTCTGCCTCACATTTCCCTCCTTCAATTTGTGCCCATTGCCCCTTGTGCTGTCCCTGCAGCTCCTAACACAGATCCCTCTGCAGCTTCCCTGGAGCCCCTTCAGCTCCTGGAAGGTGCTCTGAGGTTTCCACACAACCTTCTCTTCTCCAGGCTGAATTGCAACCTTCTCCAGGTTGCAATTCAGAGGAACCACTCTACTGGGAGATGTTCAGATCCCTCCACACTGCATTAAATACCCTTGTCACCTCCTCCTTTGGAGGGAGGCACATCCCTCTCCCTGTGATGCCAGGAGTGCCTGGCTCCCTGCCACCCAGACACCTCCCTGCTAGGTTTTAAGCATTGAATACTTGTTTT